CTAAATTAATTTTATCATACACTTTTGTTGTCCAGAATGGTTGCACTATTGTTTGGTATCATATTATTCCATGTAAATATGGTAGTGTAAAGTCCGACCAACATGTTACCAGATTTGAAGCTGTTACGTTACCTAAGTACCTGTTTTTTACTGGCGTGGTGAATGTCACCTGGATTTTGTTTTGAGGTGCAGACCTAGTAACTCTGACTACATGGGTTTGAAGCTATTATCTATTCTGTTTTTACTGGCCTGGTGAATGGCGACTGATGTTGTCCGTGGACCGTGGATGGCACTGAAACAAATTTTGAGTGTTTTGTACAGTGTTTTAATACAATGCTGAGGGCTGAAAGTTGTCTTGTTTAGAGTGGTGAAAGTTCAGGATATGCCAGCCACCATGGTGGGTCAGAGTTAAATGTGTTGCAGTCAGTTCGGCTTCGGCAAGCACACGGATGGGCATACGCATCGAGACCTGCTCTGCCATACTTTCAGCCAATTTTACCTAGGTAAGTCTTTTCTTTTTTCTGCCAAAAGCTATGACATTGTGAATTTCAGCACTGTGGCCTGTGTGTAGCTTTCAGGAAAGCAATTCTAAATAAAGCTCTGATAAAGTGCAAAATCAGCAATGCAGCCCTCTATTACATTTTCTACAACATCTTACTTGTTCCTTGCATGGAGAGAAAAATGCAATGTTATGAATTCGTTTATTCACATAATTTGACAAGCATGCAGTTACCTGCTACTATCACTGCACAAAACAGAGCAGAAAACATCAGTTGATCAAACACAAGACATAACAGAAGTTTACAACATAGGGCTGCCGAACCTGCTTCCTCCCACCACAGTTGATGCCATTTCCTAGCCTGGCTTGATGTGAGCACTGAATAGCTGCTTTGTCTAATTACAGCTCACTACCATTCAACTTAAACTACTCTCTAGTGAGAGCGTTCAGTGTTCATAGCAGCTCGACAGACGACAGACAACAAACATCTTGACAAACCAACCAGTATTTGATTTGGCTAATGATTTATGTGCTTGTTGTATCATGGCCAAACTACTTTAACAGCAATAATCCCTGTTTCATCTTGATCTTGCTTTTATTTCCATTTGAACTCAGATCTTGAAACAATCATCTGAAGTGATATCAGATACTGGCTTCTGTTTCTCTTGAAAGCAAGTTAAAACAACAATGATAAACTAAGGCAGGAGATGTGAGTTGTGGCAGTAGATTTTTGATCCAACATATGTCAACCTTATATTGCTTGAGACCTCTGTGACAGACAAACAAATATTTATAGTTTTTTGATAGTTTGGATTCTTGGCTTGATTTAGCAGATCAGCTGTGAACCTTGACTTTGAAATCACATAAATGTCATGGTACCCGAACGAATCCTCGCATGACATTTCTTCGTAGCACAATTTTTCGTCCGCATTTCTTCGTCTACAAATCTTCGTCGGTGTATTTATTTGTCCCTCAATGCTTACTCTTGCATATATTTGCGTTGAAGAAGAAATGCGAGCCGATTTTCATATACCCTGGTGCGAGACAAAGTAATGCGATAGGTACGAATAAATGCCCTGACGAAGATTTGCAGACAAAGAATTGCGATACGAAGAAATGCCATAAGAATTGTCCTGGAATCCTTTATTGGCCATCATATATTGACCTTGATAAGATAAACGCATCATTCGCGCAATATTTGTCGCACTTTGATACCAAACTATTGCTTCCAAATGCCGACGTAAAGAAAACCTTTATGTGACGTCATAGAAACAGCGGATTTCCCTAAAAGTAAACAAAAATAAAAGTCTTATATCTCGAAAACGGGTGAATATTTTCCGGTAAAATTTGGTAGATGTTCATTTTCGCTCTTTGTGATTCACGCTACATCACTTTTATGCCAATTCATTAACTTTTTTGAAGGTGGGAGGGTCCCTTTAAAGGGACCATCCCACCTTAACATTAGTTTTGAGTTGAGATAGCCAAGTTTGCGGCCAGGCTCAGAAACCACCATTTATCCTGGTCGCAACCCCCGCAGCTTTATGGTGTTCAAGAAATTTCTTCCCTTTACTTGCAGGGTGGGACCAGCTTAGTCCCTATCTCTTAACCATTAGCGGTTTTTTGATGACGTCAGCAGTCATTTCAACGCCCGCCATTCCTTGAACCCGAGTTTTGCTGACCTTGAGCTCCCTTTTTTATCAACGTGAAATCCGTCGTCGGCGCTGAGAAAGCCTATTGCTTTTCATTTTAATTTGAATATTAGAAGATACCCACCACTGGAACTTGGACTGATATTATACCAAGGCCGAAGATGATCAAGCTGCCTGCTATATCTGGAGCTTGGTGTTCAACTTCAACATGGAATAAAAAACAAAATATCAAAGCAAACTGGATATGGTACTGCAAGTTAAAGTCCAAAGAAATTTGAAGAGCTGACAATTGACATTAATTCTTTCCCTGCAAGGTTTCCATATGGAGATCACAGTCACACCATGAAGAAATATTTTTGATGTTAACAGTTGAAAGGGGATTTATCTTCCAGTTTAGACGAAAGACGCTGCTGACTGTCTTTGGAAAAGGATGTCGGCATGAGGTGCAATTGTGCTTGTGAAGTGGTTATAACTGGTCTTTTCACAGTATTAAATTGAATGTGCCATTGCAGCCAAGTGTGTTATCATGTAAGGTAAAATCAAAACTACAATGTTGGTTTTACGAGCATTGAGAAGGCTGGTAGGTAACACCTGCCTGTGCTCGTAAATCATGCTGCCAGAGTATTCTAAATTAATTTTATCATACACTTTTGTTGTCCAGAATGGTTGCACTATTGTTTGGTATCATATTATTCCATGTAAATATGGTAGTGTAAAGTCCGACCAACATGTTACCAGATTTGAAGCTGTTACGTTACCTAAGTACCTGTTTTTTTACTGGCGTGGTGAATGTCACCTGGATTTTGTTTTGAGGTGCAGACCTAGTAACTCTGACTACATGGGTTTGAAGCTATTATCTATTCTGTTTTTACTGGCCTGGTGAATGGCGACTGATGTTGTCCGTGGATGGCACTGAAACAAATTTTGAGTGTTTTGTACAGTGTTTTAATACAATGCTGAGGGCTGAAAGTTGTCTTGTTTAGAGTGGTGAAAGTTCAGGATATGCCAGCCACCATGGTGGGTCAGAGTTAAATGTGTTGCAGTCAGTTCGGCTTCGGCAAGCACACGGATGGGCATACGCATCGAGACCTGCTCTGCCATACTTTCAGCCAATTTTACCTAGGTAAGTCTTTTCTTTTTTCTGCCAAAAGCTATGACATTGTGAATTTCAGCACTGTGGCCTGTGTGTAGCTTTCAGGAAAGCAATTCTAAATAAAGCTCTGATAAAGTGCAAAATCAGCAATGCAGCCCTCTATTACATTTTCTACAACATCTTACTTGTTCCTTGCATGGAGAGAAAAATGCAATGTTATGAATTCGTTTATTCACATAATTTGACAAGCATGCAGTTACCTGCTACTATCACTGCACAAAACAGAGCAGAAAACATCAGTTGATCAAACACAAGACATAACAGAAGTTTACAACATAGGGCTGCCGAACCTGCTTCCTCCCACCACAGTTGATGCCATTTCCTAGCCTGGCTTGATGTGAGCACTGAATAGCTGCTTTGTCTAATTACAGCTCACTACCATTCAACTTAAACTACTCTCTAGTGAGAGCGTTCAGTGTTCATAGCAGCTCGACAGACGACAGACAACAAACATCTTGACAAACCAACCAGTATTTGATTTGGCTAATGATTTATGTGCTTGTTGTATCATGGCCAAACTACTTTAACAGCAATAATCCCTGTTTCATCTTGATCTTGCTTTTATTTCCATTTGAACTCAGATCTTGAAACAATCATCTGAAGTGATATCAGATACTGGCTTCTGTTTCTCTTGAAAGCAAGTTAAAACAACAATGATAAACTAAGGCAGATGTGAGTTGTGGCAGTAGATTTTTGATCCAACATATGTCAACCTTATATTGCTTGAGACCTCTGTGACAGACAAACAAATATTTATAGTTTTTTGATAGTTTGGATTCTTGGCTTGATTTAGCAGATCAGCTGTGAACCTTGACTTTGAAATCACATAAATGTCATGGTACCCGAACGAATCCTCGCATGACATTTCTTCGTAGCACAATTTTTCGTCCGCATTTCTTCGTCTACAAATCTTCGTCGGTGTATTTATTTGTCCCTCAATGCTTACTCTTGCATATATTTGCGTTGAAGAAGAAATGCGAGCCGATTTTCATATACCCTGGTGCGAGACAAAGTAATGCGATAGGTACGAATAAATGCCCTGACGAAGATTTGCAGACGAAGAATTGCGATACGAAGAAATGCCATAAGAATTGTCCTGGAATCCTTTATTGGCCATCATATATTGACCTTGATAAGATAAACGCATCATTCGCGCAATATTTGTCGCACTTTGATACCAAACTATTGCTTCCAAATGCCGACGTAAAGAAAACCTTTATGTGACGTCATAGAAACAGCGGATTTCCCTAAAAGTAAACAAAAATAAAAGTCTTATATCTCGAAAACGGGTGAATATTTTCCGGTAAAATTTGGTAGATGTTCATTTTCGCTCTTTGTGATTCACGCTACATCACTTTTATGCCAATTCATTAACTTTTTTGAAGGTGGGAGGGTCCCTTTAAAAGGAAAGCGAGAGAGAGGGGTTGGACAGAGTGAGGAAGAGAGCGAGTTAGAGAGAGAGAGAGAGAGAGAGAGAGAGAGAGAGAGAGAGAGAGAGAGAGAGAGAGAGAGGGAGAGAGAGAGAGAGAGAGTTAGAGGGAGAGAGGCCACTTGTCGCTCGCTTATTAGTTATTCTCCTACTCTAAGTAGTAGGAAACCACCCGCCGTCCGCTCGTAAGTTCTTCTAACAAAGACCACCTAACCCCACCCGCCTGTCTCTCGTTCCTCCGCAGCCCTAACCACCTGCTCGCTGTTTCAGACCATCACCTACGTGGAGGGCCAGCACTGGGACAATGTGGACGTGATTGACGTCAAACCGTCCGCGTCCGCGTCCACCGTGGACATTCTGCACGGGGAGCTGCCCGGCGCCGGCTCGCCCTGCAGTCCCGAGCGGCATCGGCACGGCGAGAAAAAAGGTGAGACGGCACAGTGTCTGTGAGGGAGGCGAGGAGGGACTCAGACTGAGCGGAGGATATTCAGTGGATTGGTCTTACCTATGGTGCGATATAAGACTTGCTCCAATAGATGCCCTCTGTTTCATCGCTTTCTCCACAATTGCGCTCACACCTACGTAGGGTTGCTACATCTTAAGCCTCCAACGCAAAACTGCTTTCATCAACTGAAATGTCACTTGTAGGAGGAGGCTTTAGCGTCTTAACACTTCCATTGAAGGTCGCCGAATATAGCTCAAGCCGCTGCACACCTCGAGTGTCATCAGCCTTGCTTTATATAGACATTCTATTTGTACTCTGCTTTGAGGCGGCCTTTACCAACACTGAACAACCTTTATTGCATTTGATTGAGGCTGGTATCCCACTTAAAACTTAAACCTTAATTTATGTGGTAGTATTTACGTACCAAGAAAAATCATGAAGTATGTCTAGATCGATTATTGAATTTATCTACCTCACTTTTCCGTAAACTTCAGATGCTTCAACTGATAATTATATCTACTGAAGGGCTGGATGTCAAAGATATGATTTTTTTACAAATATATTTGTACCATTTTATATATAACACGTATTGTTTGCGTAAGATTGAACTCCTTTTGATATGGTTTAGTTCAGTAATAAAGTGGCCAAATGACATTTTTTTTACAATCTTCCCTCCAGCAGCGCTCCGTCGTGACGGTCTGGAGTTTGCATCCTCATTCAGTCTCCCAGAGTGGAGAGACCCAATATTGCCTGAACCCACGCTACAAGGTCTGCTTTGTGGCACACCTTCCAATACCATATGACATTTATCTTGCAAAATGAGAGCGGGCCGACGTCCGCTTTATGGCCAAGGCGTCTATTGGTCATCGAACGACCAGAGATGATGATGGGGATCGTTCGCTGGCGACCGACCGCTCCAGTATTGAGGAGACGGAGTTATGCTAGAGTGGAGACTGGAGACCTAGAGCGACATTGATACCTGACCTCACCTACGGAGGTCGCCGAGCCTCTGTGATCTCAGATAATGTGCAAACATTAGCTTGATTTGGGGCTCGAATAGAGGGAGCGGAGGATGGCCAGCACGAGGAGGGAGGGAGGGGCAGAGGGGTGGGAGGAGACCCGAGTCAAGCGACAGGCTGTGGAAAACGATCCCCTCCCACCCTCCCCAAAAGCAACTGTCAATCCAAAAATACCGTCCTATAGACACACTCGTCGTCGGCCTAAGTCTTGTTATCGATCATGATATGAACGATAACGCGATTTGGGTGCGGACGGCCATCAACAGCCAATACTGGACAACAGATCTGGGGAGCGTACGGTATGAGACACCCTAATCAGTAATAGGGCCCACCTATTCGTTTCTTACTGCCAATACCCGCTCTCCAGAAACCATGCAACCTCGATCAAGTCCGGCACACCCAACCCCATATCACACCAGAAGGAAGTTCACGGAGTCTCGGGCATCCATCCGACACTGTCACCTGCTCTAGCTTTGAAGGCGGGTAGAATCTCCGACCTCGTGACCTACAAAGAGGTCCCGGAGACCAAATACCTCGGGAAGGCAGATTCCCGAACGCCATTCGACGTCCTTAGGTACCCCGGACACTACAGCTGCGTGGTCCGCCGGTTGGCTCATTAAAGCTAAGCGATAGCTCGTCAAAGATGGCTAATGGTGCATGGATCAACAGCTGGGCCCTCCGATGGCCTCCGCCACTCAGCCGACTCAGAGTTAATCCGAGTCGAACTCCGTCCGAGTCAGAGTGCTCCGAGTCCGTCTGCTGCGAGTCAGGTCCGGTGATAAAGCGCCGTGTCGGCTGCGGTGTCACGACGCCTGATATGTGGCCTGCCTGACCCGACCCCGAGTATTGATCAGAATCGGCGCCCGAGTATTCGCTTAGAACGCCACGGTACGCAGAATGCAGTTCGATGTCTACCGTTCAGTGTAACTATGGGTTAAACTGGGGTCATCAATTATGAGCTATTTAAAAGGTTCGTGATTCCCAGTGAATGCGTTGCAGCACCAGGAAATGGCTTCCAGAGTTAATTTCAGTGCGCAGTTTCTGCGTGGCGCGGAGCACCAGCGACTGCAATCTCGGGAGGCTCTGACCTCATTGGCTGAGCGTCCGGGATATTTCGCTGAAGGTGTAATTCGATACGCTTCGTTGGACACGTAATTCGATACAGTTCGTTTGAAGTTGTTATCTCTATGTGATAACTGCCAATTGAGTAAAGGCCGCCCCATACTGGACCTCGCATGCGGGTTGCGAGTTTGCGGGTTTTGAGTTTGCGGGCATAATACTAATTCATAGAGTGATTAGGCCGCTCCCTTATGGTAACTTCATGAATGCAGTGAAGCCGGTACACCTTCAGAAACTTACATATAGTCGCAATACCAGCGCAACGAACCAAAATTCGACTCCAACGAAAAACCCGCAAACCTCGCAGAACTCGCAGACCTCGCAGCGAGGAAAATCGAAAGTTGACTCAAAATCAACTTTTGGAATGCGATGGAAGGTTGCTCGCAAGCTAAAAACATGCAGACTCGCTTGTTAGATGATAGTGTGGGTCACTCAGCTTAGATTGTATTATTTGATTTTGAAGAAACCCGAAAACGAAAAAACCCGCAACCCGCATGCGAGGTCCAGTGTGGGGCGGCCTTAACTGTGGAATGTGCATTTTCCCAGTTCCCGTAATTCTAAAAGCGTGACATAAATAAATTGTTGTTGATGAATATCTTGCTTTCACCACAGGCTCACGTGCCCAGCTAGAAGTAACCCATCCTGCCTTTCTCATTTTACTCTCTTATGTACTTGGTTGCACTTCCCAGCTTTCAGCTTTTCAAACCAACTCCTTACTTCTGTCGGTTGGCTTGAACACAATGCCCAGAAAATTCGCTGGTAACTACGTTGTGCAATGCCACCCCACTTTTTAACCAACACTAAATCCCTTTACACTCGTTCCCGTTTCGTCTGATCCCCTCTCGTCCCGTGCCGATCTCCCCTCTCGTCCCGTGCCGATCTCCCTCTCGTCCCGTGCCGATCTCCCTCGGTCGTCGTCCCCTGTTGTGCCGTTACCGCTCGTTTCCCGAGTCCCATTTTGACGCCAACCGCACCCACTTGTATCCTCCTCCAAATCAGCGCCGTGGCGAAGCGGCGCGCGTGCGGGGAGAGCTGTTTTCTGGGATACACCCGCGGGGCGAAAACAGGGTTTAACGGTCGACCAGAGCCGGCGGGAGGTCGGTTTTCGCTGGCGATGAGTCGCCGTCAGCTCGCTGACACCGCTCAGTGTTGACAGGCCACGAGGGCGGTAGTGCTGCTGGCGATTCGCGCTGCTTTGTGAGCTGTGTTGTCGGCGTGGGAAACATTTTTTAACGACTGATTTGCAGGGACAGGAAGGGAGAACCAAGCTGAACCTGCAAAGGTGCTGTCCCGTGGATATTTGTCTCTTCGCGATGAAGCTGACGACGGTTCTTTCCCGTACAAATTTTAGTTTATTTTACATGAAATACCGGCAGAAATATGTCCAACAACAGATAACCGCTCGGTTAAGATGACATCCCGCTGCACGCAACTTTACAAGTTCAGAATCTCAAAAATATTGAATCAGACGCGCGCCCGCGAAGGGCAGTATGAGAATAAAAGTTCTCACAACGCTGCAAACAACGTGCCCGATAAAAAATACCGACTAGAACTGCAGCTGATGCAACAGAAAGAAGCTAAGCGCAGAAAGAAGCCCAAAATGAATGCTGTGAAAGTTGCTCAGGATTTGTCACGTTCGTTTCTTTCATGCACTGAGAAGTTTGATGTCATTTATCACCAGTAAAACGCCTTTTGGGCGAAGAACGAGCGAGCGAGATAGTCAGCCCTGCACGTGCGGAAGGGCGAGAGGGTACTTCCAACGGGCTTGTGCAAAGCACCCTTCTAACCGGTCGCTAGCGGTGTACCAAATTTGAACGCAATCGGCCCAGCCGTTCCTGAGATCTGGAAGCGGCATTCTGCACGTGCGCACGTGCAAACGGGGTCCAAAATGACTTTTGCACGGCACCCTACTAACCGGTCCCCAACCGTGTACCAAATTTGAGCGCAATCGGCCCAGCCGTTCTCGAGATCTGGAAACGCCCCCTGCACGTGCGCACGTGCAGTAGCACCCTAACTGCAACACATGGGAATGCATTGCCTGGTGGGTGCCTACCTGTATGCCAAGTTTCAGCGAAATCGCCCCAGTAATTACCGAGTTATTGAAATGGGAGCAAATTTGGCACCTCTTATTGTTGTATTTTGCACGTGCAGTGGGGGTCACTCACATAATGAAGAGTATCCGACCTTTGGTAGAAGGGATGCAGCTACCCTATAAAAATGACCGCAAGACAATCGCTCAAGCCGCTGCTGAGATATGGGCCTCTCAAAATCATTACTTTTGCAAAACTGCTTGAACACCCTTGACTTTTCACGTGGCACGTGCCACGGCGGTCACTGAGATGTATCAAAAGTAGTCAATTACGGGGTAGAAGGGATGGGGCTACCCAGCAAAAAAGACCGCAGGCCATTCGGTCCAGCGGTTGCTGAGATATAAGCCTCTCAAAAGCGTTACAGGCCGGGCCGGGCCGGGCCGCTCATACTGGGATTTTTCCGTTATATTGAAAAGACTTCGCTTCGCTCGCTGCGCTCGCTCGCTCGTAATCAGCATAAGGAATAAAGTTGCGAGGTCCTCAAGGATGCCGTTGCTTTGCCTGCAATTGAAAAGCTAGCAAAGCAGATAACACGGCCATCTCAAACGGTTAAAGAAATATCACCATCTGCTGACAACCTTAACTTCAGCGCACTAACCAGCCAAATTAAATATCGACATATTTACTAGACACGCAGAGTAAGTGTGCTACTTGTCGCGGGAGAGTAGGCTGCTTATACTCAACACGACGAAATTCTACCACAGCAATCAGATCTGAGTGGAAAACATTCAATTCCAAAGTTTGCGCCGAAGGGACACGCACCAACTCCCAGGTCAC